AAAAAAAAAAAAAAAAAAAAGAGAGAGAGAGAGAGAAGGGTCCCGAAAGAGGCCATACACAAGCAAGGGAGACTGAGAAAGGGTTGTGTCCCTGTGGACATCCGTTAGAATTGGAAAGATAGTACGATACAGAGAAGATTAACATGGCCCCTGATGTGCAAGTAAAACCAACGGCAGCGGCGCAGTTGGTACAGCCCATAAACTGTTGAAATCCAGACCTGAGTTCGAATCCAGATGGAACCGGATAAACGAAATTCATGACTTACCTAGAGCCGGTCAGTTTCACGATGATATCTGAAGGCTGTTGCCCTTTCTTGGGGAGAAAAAAAAAAAAAAAAAGACGTGTACTATGCGACACATAAATCGAGAAATAGTCCAAATTTTTAAAGGGAGAAAAAAAAAAAGAACGAGAAAGGCTTGTGTTTAGAATGCTTGCCTGCAGCCTCTTGCCCTGTCATGGCATCAACTACTAGAAGTATTTCATGTGGTTTCACTGCACTCTTCATGTTCTTGAGCTCATTCATCATGTCTCGGTCAATCTAAAGGCCAACATCACCAATCACAGGAAGTGCATTGGAGTCTCCGTCTCTAGCTCAACGCCTCTCCCGAATATGCACAAATGTGGGCCACAATAGAGGCACGCACAATACACAGTAGGGCACGATACACAAGATCAATAGAACAGCAGCTTTGATCTGTGGACTGACTGATCATTTTTGCATTATCATAAAGCAAGATCTTTTTCTACATACCATACAATACAATATGATTCCATGCCACCAGTTTTTTTTTTTTTTTTTTTTTTGTTCTTCCGCTTTACTTAGAAGTTTTACAATATGATGATGACGTTTTGACTCCGGCCTCAGAGAATAAGGGATACTTGTTGGGCTAACTTTTCAATGTTTTCATCAGGGTTGCATCCCTGCCGACCGCCGACCCCAACCGCCGACCGTATTGCAGCCGACCAGTAGGGCCGACCGGTCGGTGGTCTGCCGACCAGTCAGGAAAAAATAAAATAAAATAAATCCACTGATTTTTTTTCAAATCTGAGTTGGGGGCTGTACTGCACTTGCGGAGTACAGCCCAAATCCGCTGAGAAACTTTTGGGGATGGGGGGGGG